TAATTCATTGCAAATGCTAAAAGCGCTGAGAGCGCTTAAAAACCTACTGTTGTCTCTGGAGCATAGACACCTGAGATTATAAATCATAAAACGTGCCTGAAAAACGCTGAAATTGCTCGGTCTAACCACCGGGAGATTTAGGCACAAGGAAGGCAGTCCCCAGGGAGATGGTAATGGGGAAAGGCAACCCTCCTGGGAGTTGGACACGGGGAAGGCAGCCCCCTAAGAGAAAATCGGGAAAGCAACCCCCCTGGGAGTTAGACAAGGGGAAGGCAGACCTGCGAGTGGTTGGCATGAAGAAAGTAAAATGTGTGAAGTAATCTTATGAATCTTGTGCAGAGGAAAACACGCCCATTAGAAGACAAAGAGGGAGAGGGGTTAAGGACAGGTGTGTCCGATGATCTTCAAGAGCGGACATACGAGTGCTTGTAAACGTGTCAGCAACGGAAGTACCTTTGTCTAGGACCACCAATCTGCTTGTGGCGGTGGAACCTGACAACTCCCACCTACAGCACAGCGACGTTACTGAACCCACTGAAACACACTAAGAACGTAAAACTAAATTTACAGTTAGTTTCGACTATTACTAGGCTTGGATATCACATATTTGTTTAATTCCACACTGGCGCACATGTGTCAAGCTTGCCATCGAGTATAAAGCACCAGACTGGAATCCACACTTGATCAAGCATGTAAAGATGCTAAAAAAAATTCAGGGGCGCGAATCGCGACTGGTAACATAGCTGATACGGCTGACATTTAGGGAGAGACTTAAATATACATAAATCTTGTGACCTTTAAGGGATTGAAGAATTAGGGGAGATACGATAATAGCATGTGAGATACTCGGCGGATGTATGTATAGAAGTTATAAACACAAAAGAGCAACAAGGATGTCAGTTAAAACTTATTCTGTTTCAGTGTAATGAAGATGTTAAGTATCGTACAATAGATAGTGATGTAAGTAGACTTTACACAAGTTTCAGATATGTATGGCAGGACTCGCAAGGCAGGAAAGTAGTGTTATCAGTCGTTTGTAGTCAGGAGGCAAAGACAGAAGTTGGTATTCTACACAAATAACCCGCAAATAGAAGAGAGGAGCTTACGACGACGTCGTAACGTCGTCGTAAGCTCTTCTCTTCTATTTGCGGGTTATCTATGTATCGTTCCAGTCACGGTACTGTGCCTTGTTTTAGTTATTTCTGGCATTCTACTCTCGCAACAATTAGACGAGTACAAATACACACAAACTGACGTTCGCAGGGAATCGCATTTGTAATTCGATCCTGTCACATCCAGACACCGGGAATCCTTTGAAACAATGTTAAATATACATCACTTTGACTTTTCCTCCCAGTGGAGATAACTGTAAAACGCGTGAGTTGGAATACGCTGTCGTGGTCCGCAAACCTATTAATTACCCTAAACACCCAGTAAACAAGCTGCTGTCTTGTGAAACCTCGCCAGGAACCCGGCACACATGCCAGCGATACCCCCAGGTAACCCGGAACACATGCCAGCAATATCCCCGGGTAATTTGGTACGCATGCTATCGATACCCCAGGTATCGAGAAATGTGGGATCCACACCTGAGTGGAGCCTCGACGATTTGTGGATCTTAGCAGTGTGTGTACTTGCTGAGTTGTACTCACTGCACTGCACTCAGTGTAGTGAGTACCCTCACCGTGGTGTGCATTATAGACCTGCCTGGGGTCGAGTCTACATGTTGTCTCCCCTCAAGGAAGGTTCCTTGATGTTGGTGAGGGGCTCTTGATTTAGGAAATTGGATCTATGCTCCAGTTCCCGAATTAAGCCTGAATGCCTTCCACATCCCCCCCCAGGCGCTGTATAATCCTCCGAGTTTAGCGCTTCCCCCTGGATTATAATAATAATAATAATACATGTCTATTCCGAGAGTTATTACCCCCGTAGCCAGGTCCTAGACCAGACCTAATGGTTGATAACCTGATCACTCAGGCTATTGGTGTTAGGAGCATCCAGTAAAACGTAGGCATCACAGTTCGACTTATGAGGACCTCACTTCAGGCATTTGAAAGATTTCCTCTTGAAGACAGCTAAGGGTCTGATGGTAATTTTCCTTATATATGAAGGAAAGGTGTTGACAAGTCTTGGGCCTCTTACTCTTATTTACACTCCTAGAATATTCGTCGTGTCTCTGGCATTCTTTGGGGAATTTTTCACCGTCTGCCGATCTTCTTGTCTAGGTTAATTCTTGAACGCTGTTCTGATATTTGTAACACACGTGCCACTAAAGTCGCACGGGTTTTGTGTGCACTTCTTGTAAAATATCTTGCATATTGTTTGCTCCTGGATCTAATTATTTTATTCAGTTTGCTGATTTATCTACGCCATTCCCATGGCTGTACACCATTCAACTCTGTTTACCTCCTCTCCTAGTTTGTATGTAAAATTCCAATAGCCACTTGTTCATCGATCTTTTTAGCTTATTTGGGGTTCTTTGGAACTCATTCTTGTCGTCCCAAATGTTATCCTTCTTATCAGTTTTAGATAACGAAAGACAAGAATACACAGTACCGTCTGCCGAACCACTACCTGTCGTAGAGAGTAATATAATTGTACAGGTTTGTTCTAATTATTCTTGAGAATTCAGTATCCTCTACAATCAAAGATACATAGGTTTCAAACATCTCAGGCAGGCCATTATTATTATTATTATTATTATATATATATATATATATATATATATATATATATATATATATATATATATATATATATTATATATATATATATATATATATATATATATATATATATATATATATATATATATATATATAATATATATATGTCGTGCCGAATATGTAAAACTGGTCAATTAGCAAGAACTCATTTAAAATTAAGTCCTTTCTAAAATTTTCTCTTATACGTTTAAAGATATATTTTTTTCATTAATGTTGATGTAAAAATTATAATTTTGCACCAAAAGGAACTTAGAAAACTTACCTAACCTTATTATAACAATCGTAATTTATTTTGCATACACAAATTTTCACTTGTCCTATATGCCAAGATGAGCGTTGCTATTTAAGCCAAGATCACAGGTTCTGCCTATTCGGCACGACACACCACACACACACACACACACACACACATATATATATATTATATATATATATATATATATATATATATATATATATATATATATATATATATATATATATATATATATACAGTGCCTGCACTCTGAAGGAGGGGTGTTAATGTTGCAGTTTAAAAACTGTAGTGTAAAGCACCCTTCTGGCAAGACAGTGATGGAGTGAATGATGGTGAAAGTTTTTCTTTTTCGGGCCACCCTGCCTTGGTGGGAATCGGCCAGTGTGATAATAAAATATATATATATATATATATATATATATATATATATATATATATATATATATATATATATATATATATATATATATATATTATATATATATATAATATAGGTAGTAAGTTGGTAGACAGCAACCACCCAGGGAGGTACTACCGTCCTTCCAAGTGAGTGTGAAACAGAAGTCTGTAATTGTTTTACATGATGGTAGGATTGCTGGTGTCTTTTTTTTTTTTGTCTCGTCAACATGCAAGGTTTCAGGTACGTCTTGCTACTTCTCCTTACACTTAGATCACACTACACATGCATGTACAAACATATATATACACACACCTCTCTGGGTTTTCTTCTATTTTCTTACTAGTTCTTGTTCTTGTTTATTTCCTCATAACCATGGGGAAATGGAACAGAATTTTTCCTCCGTAAGCCATGCGTGTTGTAAGAGGCGACTAACATGCCGGGAGCAAGGGGCTAGTAACCCCTTCTCCCTTCTCCTCTATACATTACTAAATTTAAAAAGAGAAGCTTTTGTTTTTCTTTACAAGTCACCCTTCCTCGGGTGACCTATAAAGAAAAACAAGACTTTCTCTTTTGATTGTCATGCATAGTGTGCTTCAGAACACTATGCATGACAGTCTTCATTACTTTTGATAGGATGCACATCAGTGATAACGGCTTGCATTTCAGTTCTTTTTGTCTGTTACATATAGTGACTATACTGGCCGTCCTCCAGCCATCCGGACAGTTGTCTCTTTTCTAGCGATCTGATATACATAGAGTTTTACAAGATTACTTATCCCATCTTAATTAGACTTTACCCTCTCTTGACCACTATTTACATACCCCGCTTATTATTATCTCTGTATTGGAATGAAAATACTGACGAAACACCTGTAGCGACTTTTCCTCCATAAATGACCTGGTACTACGTGTCTTTTATTTCACAATTATTTTAAACAAATAAATACGTCAAAGTTTTACGTTTGTGTTCATCAGTTTAAAAGAAAATTTAGTATGAGCGACGATGTCTTAAAATTCAAATTTGCAATGTCGTAGACTCGTAGACATTTAGGCTTAAAATTCTTTTCAGCAGATATTAAGGTACTTCACTGCAGAACCTGGAACAATTGAGAATACATATGGGTTTCGTTACTTCCTCACCCGGATCATCCCAATTACTCGTGGTTATACTAAAGAATATGTACCTTTTTCTTCATCTTGACCCTAAATAAAAATAAAGGAATGAACATTTCAGTTGTGAGCGTACAAATAATACCTTAAAGTAATATCTTAAAAACAGAATAAGCGTTGAAACCACTGTGGCTGGAAGAGTTTGTAACTAGCACACAAATAGGAAATAAAAACTGGGCTAAGTTTCCATCCGTCCAGGACCATCATCAAGTCACGAGTTAAATGTTTACAATCTAGCAGACTTGCAAGTATTTTTTTTTTCTGTCTGAAGTACGTGTACGAAAACAGATAAGTCATAAAAATTTATTCATACATTCAGTATGTATTTATCTTTACTCTTAGTTGAGTTCTTAATAGTTCTTATTTTTGTAATTTATAAGGCCTGGTTTGAAAACGAGCTAGTGCCATTAAGAGATATAACCAGGCACCGTCTACCATCCTCTCTCAGGGCAGTGTGAGGCAGCGCTGGGTATGCAGAGTGGAGCCATCCCTGATGAACGCCTCTCTGCCTCCTCCTACTTCGACGCCGCTGTCAACGCTATGTACGGCAGGTGAGTGAGAAACAAAGCTCTCCTGCTCTAGTTATACTTGTTTCTTATCTCTCTTATTTCCTTCTTCTGTTGTACTTTATTTTTATTGTGGCGATGTATAACCCATTTGGGATTAGCACTGTTATGCAATGCAATATTCTGTTTTTTTTTTGGAGGAGAAGGGAATTTATAAGATGGGAGGGAGAAAGAGAGTACACGGGAAAGGCAAATAACAGAGAACTTAGTAGTCCACACCGAGACTGCTTCTGTCTTAAGAACCATCATATATTTCCATGTGTATAAGTCAAGGATAGAAGAGCAGAAGGCTCTATTTCTTCTTTCCACTCTCTCCGGCGACTGCCAGCCTGATAATAAGAGGGAGGGATGTACCACACCATATTGGAACAACAACAGACACTGCAAGAGAAATGGAAGGCAGGGAATATTACTACTTGTACTTAATTAGTGCAGTTTCCAATTTAATTTATCGTATTACTTCACTGTCTCTCAGAGTTGTGTACCAGTGGTTCTGCTTCTGCTTATTAGTTTTTTTTTTTTTTTTTTTTTTTTTTTTTTTTCAGAAAATTAACATTCTTGTCCCTAATAATAGTCTCCATTAGTTTGCGTGAAATTGACGTTAAGATGATGGGACGACAGCTGAGGACACAAGTCTTGTTTTCCCTGTTATTAATATGGAGTAACTAGTTTCCAGTCTGTAGATATCTTACTTGATCTATCAGTATTAATTTTCTCCAAGTATTTTATTTTGTCAATGTTGCATTTTTTCGTGAATATTTAGTCAGCGTCAGGCCCTAAAAAATAAATTTTGCGGCCTACGAACGCCGGTGACATTCATCAAACAATACTACGGACCCGAGGGTCATGTGACAGTTCAAGTAAGAATGTTGTCCTCTGTCGTGTTGACAATTCTGGCGTCCTCCTGCTTCCCTCATAAAGTGCTGCAATAAAGTCATCAGCTACTATTACCTCTTTGTGTCTACAGATTGTCTGATTTCATAATTCAAGAGAGCATCGTTCCCTTGGCTTTGTTTGGGGGGGGGGGGGACATAATATATCAAGCATAAATTTATTGTTTGTTTCCTTGGAGTTCTACTTACAGTCACATTCTCCTTGCATCATGCTTCTGAATTCCTGTATCATGTATTTCAATGTTGATTAACATAGTCACTTCACCTTGTTTTATGAGTGCCATCCTTTTAAAAATAGTGTAGCCCGTCAAGGCTGTTTCCGCTATTTCGTGATTATTTGGGCCAAACATAGATTTACATAGAGTAGAAATATTTCGATCCCCTGATAATGAATATATAGATTGTTGGTCCCTTAATTAATATACTGCGAGTGTTCATGTAAAAAACTAGTCTACCCAGTTGGGGTACTTAAATTCCTTATCCCACTGGTTACTTACCTTGCTGTGGTAAGCAGTCCGGTCCCCCATCCACACACACCTTGCCTTACCCTCGTGGTCTCCTCGACCTTCACTCTCAGGCAAGATTCTTCCTTATCTCGCGCTTCACACGTCGCTCAGATGAAGTCCATTTTGCTTAAACAAACTTCTGTCAGTATTGGAGCCGTCAGACAGTCCAATATTGTCCAGACTCGTCCTTTCCATTCAAATCCTTTAACCTCTAATTTAGTTCCATGGTTTTTGCTATGTGAAGTGTAATTACCACAGTCTCCTACTGTCTTTGAATTTCCTAAGAGCTTTGTATCTGCCAAAACTCTCATCTACTCTGATGTAAATCATTGATTCCGACGTGAGTCTTGAAAATTGTGTTTTGTGACTTTTTTTTCTTCACCTTTACTCGCACCTGGAAGACAACCTCCTACGCAGGCTGCTACGACAGAATTGTGTGTTCTGCTGCCTTAGAATGGAATCTCCCACCAAGACTACCTAAGGGTGGGTGGTTGGACCGTAATGTGTGGTTCAGACAGAACGTCAAATTTGTTCCATAAAGTAATGAATTTTATCATGACAATACCATTAACAACGATGTAGTTTGCTGCATCGTAAATCTACGCAAACTAGACATTCTTCATGTGTAGAGAAAGAGAGAGAGAGAGAGAGGATGATGAAAGAGACTAAAGTGATGCACACTTGATGGGTGCGTCAATATCTGGCCTGGAACAATAAATCAGCTGTGCTCCCCCGCCACCATTCCCACACCTCATTATTTACCCAATTGTCTGCCAGAGGTACGAGCGCCGCAGAATTTATCTTCAGACAATTTGGAAGTCCAGAAGTGTTGTGCTGGATTCAGTGGCTGTAGTTCTTAATGTCTTCCTAGTCACTTTTTTAAATAATAAATATTTCTGTAAATATTATAGAACCTATAATATTTACAAAGTGCCTACTCTGCCTGCTGAAGACTAAATTTGTTGAAGGTTGTGAAGAAAAGACACGTTGCATATAATAAGCTTCAATTGGACAACGTTTCGCTCTGTATAGGGCTTTCCCACGTAGCGAAAAGTTGTTTCAATTAAATCTTGTTGTGCGACTTGTCTTTTCTTCAATACTGTCTGCAGTAATCCATTAGGCTGAAACTGCGTTAATGTTCTTGTGTCTGGTCAGCGTCAGTTACAAGCCAAGGTCATCTCGGAGTCTGAAAAATCCGTTGATGCTTTTTTTGGTAAAATATCGACGCCGATATAACAATTTTTTTTTCTGTTATCGGATGATGAGCATTCTAAATTTCAGTGTTTCGAAAAATTGTCTTAGAACTTTCATATTGCATTTCTGGAAATAAACTCTGGAATGCTGATTATTATTTCAGGCGGAAAGGTGCCGTTATCTGATGTGATCGAGTAACGTTTCTTGATGAAATCTGACCTTCTTATTAATCATATTTCCATCTTTTCATCAATATCTTTTTTCTTCCTCTTCTTTTTCTTGCTATACTGTGGCTTATCTTTTTCACCATTTAGATGGAAATGTAATACAACTTACTGCAAAAACCTTTGATAAGTGTGACCGTGGAGTAATTGCTCACAAAAGGAAAAACTGGGAAGGTAGGTAGACGGATTTTTTACTTCCTCACAAATAGAACCCAATGAGTAATAGTAAACGGAGTAAAATCAGGGGCTGCTACAGTGAAAAGTTGTGTCCCCAAAGGCGCGGTACTTGCCCCGCTTCTCTTCCCCATTCTCACATCTGGCATAAACAGAAACATCAGTTATAGCACTGTATTATCCTTTGTAGACGATGCTAGAATCTGTACGAAATTGGCATCCATAGGAGACACAGCGAGCTCTTCCTGTGGGCCACTAACAATAATATGAAATCCTCTGAGGATAAATTTCAGTTATGCCATGGAAGAATGGAGGAAATTAAAACCAGGTAAGAGTACAAGACAAATTAAAACCACTCAATAGAAAGTAAGTTAAGTGTGAGAGACCTGGAAGTGATAATGTCAGATCTCATGTTCAAGGTACACAACAACTTTATTATCACAACTTCAAAAAATGGAGTTTGGATAACTAGAACCTTCAAAACAAGAGATGCGAAGCCAGTGATAACTATCTTCAGGTCATTCGTTCTCTCTAGACTGGACTAGCAGCCACCTTCAAGGCAGGCGAAATTGCTAAGCTGGAAAATGTAAAGAACCTTCACAGCTCGTATAAATTCAGTCAAGCACCAGAATTACTGGAAGTGTCTGAAGTCCCTAGAACTGTACTACTTTGAAAGTATGTGAGAAAGATACATCATAATCTACACCCGGAAGGTAATGGAGGAATTGGCCTCAAACCTGCACACCGAAATTACTACTTATGAACACAAGAGGCTTTTCAGATGGAGCAGGATACCTGTCTTCAACAGGGAACGTGACATAGTTCTGAAAAAAGCTCATGATCAAACGGGTTCTGGTGCATACATTGGACTGCAACAGCGGGCACTACCAGGCTGATCGATCAGGTCAGCAACCAAGAGGCCTGATCTGAGACCGGGCTGTGGGGAAGGTGACCTCTGGAAGCTACTCCAGGTACCGTCACCACCTTGTTCACTGTCTATACTGCACTCAAAACTAACCTGACGAACCCGGTCTCCCAGATTCTCTCATTCTTAGTGTTCTAGTACTTTTAAACGAGTGTTTTGGCTGTGTATTTTTCGTGGTACCTCATCATTTTAAAACATAAAATGTTTTTGTTTCGTAATGTGTTCAGTGGGCGGGGGGTAACAGTGGTCTTGTTTGGCAGTAACAGACATCCTGACTGAGTTGAAGAGAGATCGAGCCGCGATTAATGACCGGAGGCTCGAGGTTCGATTACTCATTGCGCCAAATGACCCCCCACTGGTTTAGCCCTACATGAAATACACTAATTTAAAACAATATAATCTCACTTCCTAGCTGTGCTGAACTGAAGCTGTTGTGATAAGTATCTTCTCCACATGAGGACATTCGTAGGCTTATAAGCCTGTATATTATGCTGAGTGTAGTGCCATCATTTTAAGGACCATTCTTGGGGGGTGCCTTGATACTGTTCGTGAATGGCCTTTACTGCAAGGAATTCGTGGTACCATCCTCTTGGATCTGGAACGTTTAATAGTCATATTAACTCTGCAATATACTAACACTCAGTATACTTATACATTAAAATGGCAAATATTTCCATTACTCCTGCAGTGCTACACATGATCAAGTTTGGTATTTGTACAGAGCCCACGTTGAGGCGGGAGGCGGCGCCTGGTGTCCCCGCGAGATGGTGCATGGAGGTGGGCAGGAGTTCCTGGAGGTGAACCTTGGAGTGCTGCACGTGGTAACCAAGGTGGAAGTGCAGGGCAGGTTCGGCAACGGGCAGGGCAAGGAGTTCGCCCGTCAGTACAAACTGCAGCTGTGGCGGCCAGGGCTCGACCACTGGGTCACTTATGTTGACGGTCGCGGACAGGAGGTAAGAATAGCTCCTAACTCAGGTTCTTATCGTGGACAGGAGGTAAGAATGGCTCCTAATTCAGGTTCTTAATATGTTTTATGCTTAGAGCACTGAATCATCCAGAATTTTTTTTAAATAGGTTTTAGATTATGGCTTATGGAATCATAGATATTGTCAGGCGGAATATCGTGGAATTCTAATTCTTCATTTGGCACCAACATTTACTGGGCAACTTAAAAAAAATACTTGCTAAAATTAATGTTATGTTATATAACTTAATAAACTAACCCAAAGTATAGTCAGCATTATTTAACACCATTGAAATATATTAGTTTCGGGATGTGTACACTGTGTTCCTCGATATTAAAAAAAAAAAACTAAATATACCCTCTACTTAGGCAAAACGATGATTTTCTTTATACGCCAAGTTCACAAGTTTGTGCAAAAAACACATGACCCCTACAAGTGTGTCTAACCTCACATAAACTGCTATTGATCACTGTATCTCTGAGTCGATCAGTAACCTATGGAATTAATAACTTCCTTGAGGCAATAAATAAAATGTTTAAACATTGTGTAGCAATTATTTAATGAGAGGCGAGGAATAGTGCTGAAGAGAGACGAGAGAAGCGGGGAAAGAAAGAAAAGGTGAAAGGAAAATTAAAAAGTATGAGGATAGTAAGGGGAGGTAAAAATGGGGAGGAAATACACGAGGAATGCAAAGGGAGATAAAGAGGGTCAGCCGCAGCACGAGGAATGTAAAGGTAGATTAAAAGGGAGAGGAGAAAGCGGAGGAAAGTAAGAGGAGATAAAGAAATAGAAAGTGCAGGCTTGTTTGTAGCCACTTGTGGAAGCTTCGTCAGTCGGAGTGCTTTTGTGGTTTTGAGTAACTTATTTCTCTTGCTGTTTACGGTTTCGATCAAATAAACAGGAAGAACAGCGATCATGATTCCTAGAACTGTCTTATCATCCAAAACATGGCACACAAGACTCACCCCCCCAACGCCTTTCTTCCGCAGTTACTGGAAGGGAACAGCAACACTTACCTGGCCAAGACTTCCCAACTAAGTCCACCCATGATAGCGGCGCGGGTAAGGTTCGTTCCCTACAGTGATCACCCTAGGACCGTGTGCATGAGGGTTGAACTCTACGGCTGCCAGTACTCAGGTCAGTGCAAACATACACACGTTAAAAAACTTAGAGGGACAATGGCCCCTGTTACTATTTTTGAAGGTTTGGGAGTAAGGAGTGGAGGGCAGGAAGAGAGCATTTGGTAAACTAACTTATACAAAACTAGTAAGAAATAGAATTAACTAATCTTTAACTACTGTAGTTCTTCTCAGCGGAAAGAATCAATAGGGACGTGGTGTATTCTGTAGTCTTCTCAATATTCAGTTTGGTATCTGCATGTATCAACATCCGTGGCCCCAGATTATTCAACATCTTACCAAGTGTCTTACAGAAGAAACTGGACAAGTACTCACACCAGATGCCAGCTCAACCAGGCTGTGATGGATATGTGGGCCACGGGCCATCAACAGCAACAGCCAGGTTGACCAGGCAAACATCAAACGAGCCTGGCCCAAGGCTGGGCTCTAGGAGTAGAAAAACTCTCGGAACTCTTCAAAGGTATAGCAAACGTATGCACATTTCTCTCTCTTTCTCTCCCTCCTTTTTTAATATATATGTATATATATATATATATATATATATATATATATATATATATATATTATATATATATATATATATACATGTATATGACAGAGAGAGAGAAAGCGTTAATAAATGTGCTGATACCGAATAACTGAATATTGAAAAGCACAGTACACCACGGCTCCTAGTAGCCTGGGAGTAGATAAAAATGCTACGAGGAAAAACATTTTCCTTTCTCCCTGAGACCCCATCTTTTATAAATGCACACATAAATATATTTTATTATGTAATATGGCACACAAAGTATAAAAGATTCCCTGATGGCACAAAACTATTTAAAGCATACGTTTAAGTCTTTGTTTTACTTCCCCTCCAGATGGGCTTGTATCGTACAGTATGCCTGACGGGGACCCCAGGGGCAGCGATACAGCACTCACTGACTTGACCTACGACGGCTCCCGCAAGGATGGCTGGCTTTCCGGGGGGTTGGGGCAACTAACCGACGGCGAGATGGGTCATACCAACTTCCGTGTCGACGCTCTGGCCATGGGACGAGGTAAGGTAGCGGTCACATAGCAATGGGGGAGGGGGGAGATTCCAACCTAGGTCTACACTATGGAAGTCCCTCACGCCATCTGCCATACCATGTATAGTACATGTCATTCGCATTGCAAAGGATTCTCATGTTTATTTTAAAGCTCGGGTCTCAGAGACTCAGCACTACTGTTGATGTATTAAATCGTGGTACCTTGGTGAACTGGTAACTGTGATATGTCAGGGTATCTTATTAGTGAAAATACTAGAAATTTTGAACAAGTTTCCTAATTATGATTGTCCTAGTACCTAGGCCTTTTGTGTATCCACATCTCTTGCATTATTTTACATAGGATTGATTTGTGGTGCGCAATAAACTAGCTGCTTCGACTTCTAGATCTAAAATCTAATCTTTTAACTTTGTCATCATCATGATGTCGTTTCTTGTAATTTCACACTGAACTTCCACAATGGTACCTTGTGACAATGCCCATATCACGGTCTTCCGTATCGATATGAAAAATCGGTTGACATTGAAAACAGATTTTCCCTCTGGAAACTCTGGTTGGAATCCCTCTCATTATTCTTTACTTAAAAATCCTGTTATTACTGTACCCTTAATTCTGAGAAACTGTTCTGTTAATCATTAACACTTTCACATATATTTTACGTCTTGGAAACAAGCATATCTACTTTCCAATCTATTGGATTTTTTTTTAAGTATTCGTAGTGATGTCTACACATTAAGTGGAATTCTCCATCTTCCGTTTTCACGCAAATTCTCCGATACTTTTCTTGTTATTATGTAATGTGATGTGAAATATTAAAGTTCCTTTGAAAATTAATTACAAAAATTTAATTAGTGCTTGTGACAATCCATAGGTTTTTCAGTGATTCGAGCTGGGGTCTGTGAAAATGACAGTCCATCTTCCTAATGACTCAGCCAGCGCCACCCTGGTTTGTTACAAACGTGTTACATTTTCTTAGTTTATAGATACTAAAAGGAGACAAAATCTTCCGTCTGCTTTTGCTTCAAGCAGTGGAGGATGGTCTCGGTAAAAAATATAGCAGTTGGGTCACAGTTAGTGACCTCTACAAGTCTCCACTAGCTACCGAATATGGCAGGTTGGAGAGTATCCTGTTTGGGTGGTTAAGACGGTGGACTCTCATTTTCTCAGACGCCAGTTCGACTCTCCAAAAAATGTATGGATAATTTGAGAATGTTAAATCTAATTTGCTATAGATTCCTTACCTGCAAATAAAGCTATTGTTTTCGAATTCCCTTTTAAAATTGCGTACAGCATACGTGTATTATATATTCTAAGATTCTTAATGAGTTTACAATGCCATGATTATGATGTGAAACATTAAGGCATAAAACCTGTCGACTACTTACATGTACACCACTTGTCGAAAACACTTTAATCTTCAAAGTAGGGATTAAAGTAAATTATTCATGTATCCATCTGAGAAATATACACCTCTTGGTGCTTGTACCCTGACTAAAGGACAATGATGAAGTGGTCACCCCTGCAACTCAGAGCACAGACCCACACCTCTGTCATTATAATCTTCATCACTGGAAGAAATGGAGTAAAATGTACCCTCTACTGTCTTCCCCAGTGAGAGTAATTTGCCTAAATTAAAGGTTGGAGTAAGTTCCTACTGAAAGTAATGAAGGATACTTTTCAAGTATACTGCCTCAGGACGGCAGTTGTAGTCTCTTGCGTGCTCTCCCCGAGACCTAGTATAGTTTATTGTTGCTTTGCGGTTGCGATGTTATTTCCAGTTGCGCCACACACCCAAGATGTTGAGTAACGCTGTTCACTCATGCTATAGTTTTCCCTCGTGGTATATTCACTTATCACCCACCCAAGGTTTTTAAGGGAATATAGTTCGCTCAAACAGGTACAGAGTAACATCTATTCAGTTACCACGCATCTGAACTCTTGAAATGTGAATCTCGCCATATAGTGAAAGTAACAAAATTTGTAAGGAAAAATCTTTTTTTTTACACTTCTTTTGCTGCTGAATCGATACAACTGTGGAGTTTCAATTACAAAGATGGCAGTTCGGTCCCCAACACCACTCAAACAATTTATGCTCTTCACTGGATATATTTTGTTTTATATCTGGGTTAAATATGGTTCACTTATCCCACACTTCCAAATTTCCGAGTTTTTCGGGCCATGCACTTACTCAGTTTTGTATAATATTCAAGATTCTGAGTGCATTATTGTAGATGTTGATGACCAGTTGCTCCCTGACAGGCTACGAGTGGGTCGGCTGGAAGAACACCACACGCCAGGGGCAACCAGTAGAGATTACCTTCGAGTTCGATTCGGTCAGGAATTTCTCAGCAGTTCACATCTATGCCAACAACTTGTTTACCAAGGATTCCCAGGTAGGCCACTGTTGTATGTTATCTCAAGCGGCTTGTGTAATAAGTGTACACAATTAAGTTAGTTGAAAGGGCCATCTGGAGTGCCAAGTAAGAACAAAGGCTCACAGTTATTTTTCAAAGCAAATGAATAACAGAAACACATATTCGTGTTAAATATTAGCCTAAAATTTACGCAATATCTGAATATCCCACAAAAGAAAAGAATTTATTAAATGTACAAAAGCACATGTTGTCTTTATGGCGCTGGGGTACTATATATATATATATATATATATATATATATATAGTAGGTTGGTAGACAGCAACCACCCAGGGAGGTACTACCGTCCTGCCAAGTGAGTGTAAAACGAAAGCCTGTAATTGTTTTACATGATGGTAGGATTGCTGGTGTCTTTTGTCTGTCTCATAAATATGCAAGATTACAGGCATGTCTTGCTACTTCTACTTACACTTAGGTCACACTACACATACATGTACACGTTTATTTATACACACTCATCTGAGTTTTCTTTGATTTTATCTTAATAGTTTTTGGTCTTATTACTTTTCCTTTTATATCCATGGGGAAGTGGAATAAGAATCTTTCCTCCGTAAGCCATGCGTGTTGTAAAAGTCAACTAAAATGCCGGGAACAATGGGCTAGTAACCCCTTTTCCTATAAATATTACTAAAAAGAATAATAAGAAGAAAATTGTCAAAGTGGGAAGTCTGAATGTGCGTGGATGTTGTGCAAATGATAAGAAAGAGATGATTGTGGATGTTATGAATGAGAAAAAACTGGATGTCCTGGCTTTAAGTGAAACAAAGCTGAAGGGGGTGGGAGAGTTTCAATGGAGAGGAATAAATGGGATTAGGTCAGGGGTTTCAAATAGAGTTAGAGCTAAAGAAGGAGTAGCAATAATGTTGAAGGATAAGCTATGGCAGGAAAAGAGGGACTACAAATGTATAAATTCAAGGATTATGTGGAGTAAATAAAGATTGGATGTGAAAAGTGGGTTATAGTAAGCGTGTATGCACCTGGAGAAGAGAGAAGTGTAGAGGAGAGAGAGATTCTGGGAAATGTTGAGTGAATGCGTGGGGAGTTTTGAATCAAGTGTGAAAGTAATGGTGGTTGGGGATTTCAATGCTAAAGTGGGTAAAAATGTTATGGAGGGAGTAGTAGGTAAATTTGGGGTGCCAGGGGTAAATGTAAATGGGGAGCCTTTAATTGAGCTATGTGTAGGAAGAAATTTGGTAATAAGTAATACATATTTTATGAAAAAGAGGATAAATAAATATACAAGGTATGATGTAGCACGTAATGAAAGTAGTTTGTTAGATTATGTATTGGTGGATAAAAGGTTGATGGGTAGGCTCCAGGATGTACATGTTTATAGAGGGGCAACTGATATATCGGATCATTATTTAGTTGTAGCTACAGTTAGAGTAAGAGGTAGATGGGAAAAGAGGAAGGTGGCAACAACAAGAAAGAGGGAGGTGAAAGTGTATAAACTAAGGGAGGAGGAAGTTCGGGTGAGATATAAACAACTATTGGGAGAAAGGTGGGCTAGTGCAAAGATGAGTAGTGGGGGGGTTGAAGAGGGTTGGAATAGTTTTAAAAATGCAGTATTAGAATGTGGGGCAGAAGTTTGTGGTTATAGAGGGTGGGGGCAGGAGGAAAGAGGAGTGATTGGTGGAATGATGAAGTAAAGGGTGTGATAAAAGAGAAAAAGATAGCTTACGAGAGGTTTTTCCAAAGCAGAAGTGTTATAAGAAGAGCAGAGTATATGGAGAGTAAAAGAAAGGTGAAGAGAGTGGTGAGAGAGTGCAAAAAGGAGAGCAGATGAAAGAGTGGGAGAGGCACTGTCAAGAAATTTTAATGAAAATAAGAAAAATTTTTGGAGTGAGTTAAACAAGTTAAGAAAGCCTAGGGAAAGTATGGATTTGTCAGTTAAAAACAGAGTAGGGGAGTTAGTAGATGGGGAGAGGGAGGTATTAGGTAGATGGCGAGAATATTTTGAGGAACTTTTAAATGTTGAGGAAGAAAGGGAGGCGGTAATTTCATGCACTGGCCAGGGAGGTATACCATCTTTTAGGAGTGAAGAAGAGCAGAATGTAAGTGTGGTGGATGTACGTGAGGCATTACGTAGAATGGAAGGGGGTAAAGCAGCTGGAACTGATGGGATCATGACAGAAATGTTAAAAGCAGGGGGGGATATAGTGTTGGAGTGGTTGGTACTTTTGTTTAATAAATGTATGAAAGAGGGGAAGGTACCTAGGGATTGGCGGAGAGCATGTATAGTCCCTTTATATAAAGGGAAAGGGGACAAAAGAGATTGTAAAAATTAAAGAGGAATAAGTTTACTGAGTATACCAGGAAAAGTATATGGTAGGGTTATAACTGAAAGAATTAGAGGTAAGACAGAATGTAGAATTGCGGATGAGCAAGGAGGCTTCAGAGTGGGTAGGGGATGTGTAGATCAAGTGTTTACATTGAAACATATATGTGAACAGTATTTAGATAAAGGTAGGGAAGTTTTTATTGCATTTATGGATTTAGAAAAGGCATATGATAGAGTGCATAGAGGAGCAATGTGGCAGATGTTGCAAGTATATGGAATAGGTGGTAAGTTACTAAATGCTGTAAAGAGCTTTTATGAGGATAGTGAGGCTCAGGTTAGGGTATGTAGAAGGGAGGGAGAATACTTCCCGGTAAAAGTAGGTCGTAGACAGGGATGTGTAATGTCACCATGGTTGTTTAATATATTTATAGATGGGGTTGTAAAAGAAGTAAATGCTAGGGTGTTCGGGAGAGGGGTGGGATTAAATTATGGGGAATCAAATTCAAAATGGGAATTGACACAGTTACTTTTTGCTGATGATACTGTGCTTATGGGAGATTCTAAAGAAAAATTGCAAAGGTTAGTGGATGAGTTTGAGAATGTGTGTAAAGGTAGAAAGTTGAAAGTGAACATAGAAAAGAGTAAGGTGATGAGGGTATCAAATGATTTAGATAAAGAAAAATTGGATATCAAATTGGGGAGGAGGAGTATGGAAGAAGTGAATGTTTTCAGATACTTGGGAGTTGAAGTGTCGGCGGATGGATTTATGAAGGATGAGGTTAATCATAGAATTGATGAGGGAAAAAAGGTGAGTGGTGCGTTGAGGTATATGTGGAGTCAAAAAACGTTATCTATGGAGGCAAAGAAGGGAATGTATGAAAGTATAGTAGTACCAACACTCTTATATGGATGTGAAGCTTGGGTGGTAAATGCAGCAGCGAGGAGACAGTTGGAGGCAGTGGAGATGTCCTGTCTAAGGGCAATGTGTGGTGTAAATATTATGCAGAAAATTCGGAGTGTGGAAATTAGGAGAAGGTGTGGAGTTAATAAAAGCATTAGTCAGAGGGCAGAAGAGAGGTTGTTGAGGTGATTTGGTCATTTAGAGAGAATGGATCAAAGTAGAATGACATGGAAAGCATATAAATCTGTAGAGGAAGGGATTCAGGGAAACCGGTTATTTTCATATAGTCGGACTTGAGTCCTGGAAATGGGAAGTACAATGCCTGCACTTTAAAGGAGGGGTTTGGGATATTGGCAGTTTGGAGGGATATGTTGTGTATCTTTATACGTATATGCTTCTAAGCTGTTGTATTCTGAGCACCTCTGCAAAAGCAGTGATAATGTGTGAGTGTGGTGAAAGTGTTGAATGATGAAAGTATTTTCTGTTTGGGGATTTTCTTTCTTTTTTGGGTCACCCTGCCTCGGTGGGAGACGACCGACTTGTTGAAAATATATATATATATATATATATATATATATATATATATATATATATATATATATATATATATATATATATATATATATATATATATATATATATATTATCCTTTGACCGAGACACTCTTCAAGAGTCTGTCTTTTTTTTTTTAATTTATATAAAAATTTCTTTACGTTACCAGATTTGTATTTGTTTACCGTACAGGTATTCTCGCACGCCCGTGTATTGTTCAGTATGGGCGGGGAACACTTCCATGCTCAGGAGGCCGTCGAGTATGAGTATGTGGTGGACCGAATCTTTGAAAATGCTCGCAACGTCACCATCAGACTCCACAACGCTGCTGCCAAATACATCAAGCTGCAATTGTATTTCGCCCTCAAGTGGATCATGATCTCAGAAGTCTCATTTGATTCAGGTGAGAATGAATCTATAGAATTTTAACAGGAATATTTTTTCTAAGTAGTAAGCTCTCAGCATTGGTTATTAGTGTCATTGAATGTAAGTGAATATTATTGCAGCCCATTAAGGAATAAAGACTAATGTACTTTTATAATTATTTCTTTGCAGTGCCATGTCACTGCAACTTGACAGATGAAGATGTAACTTTGTCTGTGTCTACTGAGAAGATGAACGAGGAAAGATTTGTGGAGGAGCGCACCTCTGTGGTCCCAGCAGAGGAGACCTCTGCTTTGCTGCTCGGTGGTCTTATATGTGTTGCTTTAATATTTGGCACATTGCCTGTGGTTCTAGGTGTAAAATACTACCATAAATGGCTTACAAGAAAGTCTAATAAAAAGTCGCCTTCATCACCTGACACTGGCATGGACTCGAGAAAAGTGTCAATGAAGATGAAAGATTTACACATCAATGTGAATCTGTCACCTGTATCCAATGGATATGCCAAGGCAAAAGGAAAATTGTATGGGCATGTAACGATGGATGAAGAGACCACAGCCATGTACCAGGAACCTTTCAAAGGTCCTATACACAACCCTGGTTACTACACTCTGGGACACACCGTCACTTCGTCGGAGATTCCTCTCAAGTGTCCACTTCCCACTGACACCGATGATTCTGTGGATTATGCTATACCAGATGTAAACATGACGCCTCCTCCACCATTTTCCGAGGTTTATTCACCTCCTCCACCTCCTGTACCACTGACTCAGCCACCAGCAACTTTGCCTACAGTGTGCAATCTGCGAGATGTACCACTGGCTCCTGTACCGTCTCTTCCCCCACCTCCTGATCAGGAATATTACACCGCACCGCTTCTGTGCCAGCCTTCACACATTCAAGGTGTGACTGGCACTGTTATTTATGCTGTAGCTGATGACACCAGTTTAGGAAAGGAGCGTCGAGTACCGGAGGTGCCTAGAACACATCTCCGGGTTGTCGAGAACCTGGGAGAAGGAGTTTTTGGTGTGGTGCAGCTGTGTGAATTAAAGGATGCTACAGGGATCGGCTGCCGGAGAGTGGCCATGAAGAGCCTGAAGGTTGGTGCAAGTGAAGATGCGAAGGATGATTTTAGAAAAGAGTGTCGTGTTCTTAGCAGAGTTGATAATCAGAATATTGTAAAGCTATTGGGTGTAGTGAACACCTCTGAACCACTATGCATGTTGTTGGAGTATATGGACTATGGTGATCTCTACCAGTTTCTTCGAAGACATGTGACGGAAGGTATATCAAGTGTGTCATTCAAAGGGGTTTCTACAAGCATAAAAGAGCCACCATTTGTAAGTTACGGTGCTCTTATTTATATAGTCACACAGATTGCATCAGGAATGAAATACCTAGAGACACTGAACGTCGTCCACCGAGACCTAGCAACACGCAACTGTCTGGTGGGCAGAAGCCTTACCATAAAGATTTCAGACTTTGGAATGAGCAGGCCTCTATATTCTAATGATTATTATCGACTGAGTGATAGTCGTGCTCTCCTGCCCATCAGATGGATGGCGTGGGAATCTGTCCTTCAGGGACGATTTTCCACCAAGAGCGACGTGTGGGCGTTCGGAGTAACAATGTGGGAGATACTGACCATGGCCCGCCGGCAGCCTTACGACGAGCTTAGTGACGACGGAGTGTTGGAGAATGTGTCTCACTGTTACCACGACGACGGCTCCGGTATGATGTTACTGCCGCAGCCGGCACTCTGTCCCCGCGAGATGTACGACATGATGGCTGCCTGTTGGAGACCCAACGACCGCCAGCGACCACCCTTCTGGGAGATTCTCATGTTCCTCCAGCGTAAAAACCTGGGCTACACCCTTGACTACTTGGATTGAGGTGTTATGCTTGCTTGTGAGATGTTCTCGTGTTTATACTGACAAGTTATAAATTTACTCAGATGAAATGTACCAGTTTAACAAGAAATATTCGTTTCTTATTATCGAACGCATTCTCAGTGTATCTCTACGTAACTAAGGGGTATCATGTGAACAGTTAAACGCCTTCCTGCCATAAAATTTGATGTTAAAAGCATTATAGTGATTTCAAAAGCCGTAAAATTAATTTCAATCCGTCTTATCATAAAAGAAAAGTTGAGTGACGAAAAATAAATGAAACCAAGAAACCAAAAATATTTCAGTATATTAGTAATTTTGTGCCAATGAGACTAAGTATTACATAGACATAATAGTGATACAAACTCGCAGATTACACATGGTTGCTAGGAAATTTTTGTCATTTACTTTGACACAGGTTTTCAAAGAGGTTTCTTTGCCTACATGTGATTTTCTTTCATGATGTCAAAAAGGAATGCTCTTCTGTGATTCGTTATTGCGTCTAAAATTATTTATGTTTATGGTACACGAGGTCCTATAATGAAATATTTGAAGGTCAGTATCAGATTTCGTCACTACCTGCAGGAACACCACACCACCACCAGCAGGAGCACCATACACCACCAGCAGGAGCACCATACACCACCAGCAGGAGCACCATACACCACCACCAGCAGGAGCACCATACACTACCAGCAGAAGCACCATCCACCAGCAGCAGGAGAGTGTAGAATTTCATCGACCTGCTCAAGTAACACATGACGGCTTTGTTTGGCCTTAATCTTTCTGTATATAGATGTACATTATGTATCTTTATATCATAAATACAAGGCAGTCGTTGTCTACTTTTTGGCTTGTTAGATCTTGTAGTGTAATTGGGTCTTTGTAGGATTGAATGAAGTTTTGCAATATTATATATTTATATATATATATATATATATATATATATATATATATATATATATATATATATATATATATATATATATATATATATATATATATATATATGCAAAACAACCACTCTGAAAGAATAGAGAAATTCCAAGCGCTTTCGTGACTACTCACATTATCAAGGAACTTCTCTATTCTTTCAGAGTGGTTGTTTTGCATATTCTGAAAATCACCTGTTTACTGTGATCTTATTGCATATATATATATATATATATAATATATATATATATATATATATATATATATATATATATATATATAATGTATATATATATATATATAAGTCGTGCCGAAAAGGTAAAATCTTGCGATTTTGGCTTAAATAGAAATGCTCTTCTTGTCGAATAAGGCAAGCGAAAATTTGTGTATGCAATAATTTCGCAAAAATCATTCTGAACCTAACGAAAAATGCATATTTCATTGCGTTTATTTATTATTAAATTATTGTAAATTTATCTAAAATATATTTAGTTGCATTAGGCTGAATTAAATTGCGCTTGTTATAATAAGGTTAGGAAAGTTTTCTAAGGTTTTTTGGGTACAAAATTATTAATTTTTGCATTAACATAAATGAAAAAATACACCTTTAAACTTATAAGATAAAATTTTAGAAAGGACTTAATTTTAAAACGAGTTCTTGCTAATTGGCCAATTTTACCTATTCGGCACGACATTATATATATATATATATATATATATATATATATATATATATATATATATATATATATATATATATATATATATATATATATAAAACCTTGTTAAGGTACTGTAGTAACGTTTGTAAATATATCTTTGACTTACAAAATCAATATTACTTGGCCTAATTACCAATATTTGTAATGTTGACAGAAGAGATAGAATATATAAAAAAAATGGAAAACTGCGGATTTTATCGCGCCCAGAAAGACCATTTCTGAAACTGTAATAAAAATCTGAACGCTTAATTGTGCTCGGAATTCTCTTTTATAGGAACGTGAGGAAAAGTGGAATGTACAATAGGCGTTCTTATATTCTTACGTGAGGCTGAAAGAGCAGCCACTTAAGTCCAGGTATAATCCAGCCAGGTCTTACTGAATGACTGACGTAATCTCGAAGGTAGCTGTCGTCCCATCTTTATCTTATCTTAAACTCACTCTCTCTCTCTCTCTCTCTCTCTCTCTCTCTCTCTCTGCTACGTACCACTAGTGAGAATAACTAACCTTACACAAGATATTTGTCGAAGGTTAAGTCTGTCAGATTCTGTCAATATATTTAACTTGTATAATGTACATCACTAGTTGTAAACTGCTTAGTAACATGTTTTCACCTGTGGCTGCCACCCGTGTACAGTTATTTGTGTGTACATGTGCACATCTGTTACCAACTTCACATATGTGCACATGTATAGTCATTCGTGTATACCTGCCTGTGTGACTGTGTACACACACATATGCACTTCTAAACTTTATACATGTACAGCTGATTTTGGGCACTTTTTGTGATAGCCAGATATATATACCTTCCATGTGTGAGTGTGTACACATCTGTAAAGCTTATGGTTACCTCCTTGCACATGTGAAAAAAAAATGTGAATTTCTTATCCTGTGACTGTGGATCACAGCGCTCCTGTACGACCTCCTCACCTGTGTACATACCTGCATTTACAAGTGTTCACACACTTTCATACCCCTGCATACACATGTGCACACAGCTGCATACACAAGTGCACACATCTGCGTGCACAGATGCGTCAGAGGCGCGGCGTGGAATGGACTGCAACATATCATCCATGTTTTCCAAGAAAACTTATCGATAGATTTGTAAATAATAAAGCATTTTTACAAGACTTGTGTTTTATCTATTGGAAATCACACACACACACACACACACACACACACACACACACATATATATATATATATATATATATATATATATATATATATATATATATATATATGTATGTATGTAATATTAGGAACCAGCAGCTGTGTCCTGCAGGTTAGCATATGTTTCCCTTCCCAGGACGCAAATATTTTATTGGCAGAAGATCAGAATCTCAGCGGAGGCACAAACAAGTCTTTCGTCTTTCTTAGGAAAGAAACCAAAAAATCCCTCCTATTTCCTCTCATCCTTTTACTGCAAGAGCCTTTATGCTTTGACATAAATTTTCCACCCACACTGACCTCCGCTTCACTAAACATTACTTACCCTTACACTTCATACCGCTTCACAGTGCACTGTGACCCTTGAGGGTTTGACGCATATTTTTTCAGTTGAATTTCCAATCTCGGATCAAACTTCATTAGCCCGTACCTCTTCTACTCCCCATGTGATGTAGGACCCGTCCAAATTAAGTGCATCCCAGTGAATATAATAATAAGCGATTGTGGGCATGTTAAATAGGAGTGGGTGGCGGCAAGTAGATTTTATGACCACGTACTATTGGAGAGTTAGCAAAGTAATACTTCGAAGGAATTCGGGGAAGCCCGACTTGAGTCCTGGAGGTGGGAAGTACAGGGGATATTTGCAGTTTTGAGCTGTAGTGTTGACACGCCACTTGCAAAACACTAACTTCAGAATCAGTGATTGTCCCCACAGGTTTAGTGCTTTCTGTGAATATAATCTCTTCTCTTGGTGTGCATTGATGCTCGCTGAGGACTCTTCATCCAGGGACTTGGAGCTAAGGTCTCGTGAGTGTATACTGAGTATCTCCATTATTCAGACGCTGTATTACCCTTACGGGTTTTCCGCTGCATTATCTACTGAACATGAACCCAGTGATTAAACGACTTCTAATCACTGAAGACTTCGTACGTATTCTTTTTAGTGAATGATCGGAACAATATATTGGATGATAGGAACAATATAATAAATGATCGGAACAATACAGTGGATGACAGAAACAATATAATGGATGATAGGAAAATATAGTGGATCATAGGAACAATATAATAAATAAATGTAGTTGTGATAGGAACAACAAAGTGGTTACTGGGAATAATTAAGTAGTATTTGGTAGGAACAATAAATTGGCTGATAGCAACAATAAGCTGGTTGATAGGAACAGTAAATTGACAGCAACAATAAACTAGTTGATATGAACAATAAACTGGTTGATAGGAACAATAAACTAATTGATATGAACAATAAACTGGTTGATAGATAAATGGTTACATCTAATACATTTAACTACACGAATTAATTTATAGATAAATTCGAATTGTCTGGTTTAGGCTGTAAGCTACATATAAGTTCCCCTCAAGGGAGGGGCTCTTGATCTAGGGAATTGGATCTGTGCTCCGGTTCCCTGAATTGAGCCTGAATACCTTCCACTCAACCCCCCCCCCACGCGCTGTATAATCCTACGGGTTTAGCGCTCCCCCATGATTATAATAATGCATATAAGTTACCACACCAGGGACAATGTCACTCACACATGAGAGACAGTGAGAAGCACGTGAGGGGCAAGATGAGACACGTGTGAGGAACATGGTCACGAATACATAAGAACACGTTTATTTTCACTCCAGTCTTCGAGCTGAGTGAAGATATGTGGTGAAGGTAAACGCGCATCTGAGAGTATTAGTTTATAACAACTTTTAGCACACGCACAAATTGCATATTCTTTGTTACTTTCAGAGTCAGGTGTCTCAAAATTTATCCCCTTATACTTAGTCCTTTCATTTTAGGGAATGAGAGATTGATCAGATGTTTGCTCCACCAGTGGTTGCAGTGTGAGACGTGTAATATAAACATGGACGGGTGTTACTACTCAGTCTCTCCCTCCTCCTTCTCTATCACCATTTCACTCATCATTAATAAACCACGAATTCTTTTACGAGCTCAATACCGACCCGTGATTCTGCGAAGCTCGCTGGTGTGAGTATTTGACTCCCGGTTCCATTCCACTGGATGGAAAAAAATGAGTTAGTTTCCTTACACCTGTGGTGCCCTTGACCACCTATAAATATAAATAGATATCTTGTGTTAGACGATTGTTGTCGGAAACATCCATTATGAAAATTCGTTAAAAAAACTCGTCCATGTAAAAGGTAAATCGTGTGAGAGGAAAACACTAGTCCTGTATGACAGAACTCCAGAACCTCCTGCAAGTATTCAGCTGTTGAGTTAAAAGTTTCCAGGTGACTAATGATAAAAAAAATTATACCCACTCAAGCCTAGTCCGCCCACTAAGAAGGGCGGGCGCGAGCAAATAAAAAATGGTTACGTATAGCCGAGGCTTCCAAACAGCAGATACGACACCTGACGGAAAGCAGTAATTAAATGTTTTATTAACCAGGAAAGATTAGAAGAGACTGAAGAAAAAGGCTTTTATACGTGATATAAACTAAATCCTCTTCGTGTGGATGACACGTCTGTAGCAGGGCTCAATTAGACTGTTAACTTTGTCGTCATTACGCAGCTGCTGGGAGACTACGTAGATAAACACTCATATGTCTGCGATTATTATAAGAGCTTTTCTCTTGCCTGGCTCAGCTAATATATGTGAATAATGAATAAATTACATGTGATTAAGCTGTGGTGAGTCCTTGTGAGGTTGGGATGTTATGCGAGTCTCGCTTTAAGTGGAGGTCCCGCGTCAAGAGTGGGCCCCGTGTTAAGTAAGGGACCAGTGTTAAGTGAAGGACCAGTGTTAAGCGAGGGACCATTGTTAAATGAAGGACCAGTGTTAAGTGAAGGACCAGTGTTAAGTGTAGGACCGGTGTTAAGTGAAGGACCAGTGTTAAGTGAAGGACCAGTGTTAAGTGAAGGACCAGTGTTAAGTGAAGGACCAGTGTTAAGCGAGGGACCATTGTTAAGTGAAGAACCAGTGCTAAGTGAAGGACCAGCGTTAAGTGAAGAACCAGTGTTAAGTGAAGGACCAGTGTTAAGTGAAGGACCAGTGTTAAGTGAAGGACAGTGTTAAGTGAAGGACAGTGTTAAGTGAAGGACCAGTGTTAA